TAATCAAAAATTAGGTTTTGATATATTTACGGTAGGAAATTTACAAAATATCTTCATGGAACATGATCTTTACTTAATATCCAAATGATTTTTGACATAAAAGAAAAATCAATAATTTTGACCCATACAATGTATTATTTTTGGCTATTGCTACAAATATACCCCAGCGACTTAAGACTGCTTTTGTGCTCCAGGGTCACATAGGTTTATTTTTAAGATCATATATGCTCACCAAGGCTGCATTTATAGTAAAATATTATTAAAAATATGAATATATTGAAATATTTTTGTGTGTGTTTTACTGTTCTCTATTTGAACAAGTTTTGAAATGGACTTTATTCCTGTGATACAAAGCTGAAATTTCAGCAGCCACTATTCCTGTCACACTTGACTTGTATTCTTCGAATACACTGATTTAATTCTCAAGAAACATTTCTTTTTATTATCAATGTTGAAAACAGTTGCGCTGCTTACTATAATTTTTCAGGATTCTTGGATGAATAGAAAGTTCAAAAGAACAGTGAAAAGAAACATAAAGCTTGACTATCACAAAACATGTCTTACAAAATTTAAATCAATATATTGTTTTCTGTGAATGAGTGAGCAGGATGATTTTCACATCATTTTGACATAAAAATTCTAGCCTACAAGACTGATCACTCAAAAGTCTTATTCAGAACTATTCAGTATAGGGTTTATGGCCTTATTTCAGCTACATTTTCCCGCCCAAAACTTACTAACCATGCATAATCTTTTTTCTTTTCTAAAAAATGCAAACATGTACATCAATCTTGCTCACATATTATTGTAGCACAGTTTGTGCTGAATACAAAAAAAAATGTAAAAATACATGTTGGCCAATAGTATGTTATAAGTAGCTGAAATAAGCACAAATGTCAGGGCATATCAAAACATCTCAAGGGCCCCAAAATCACCTCAGACCCCAGAGGGTTAATTGGAAATATAATTTTTGTAATACTTTAAAAAGTCTGTACTGTCAATGTTTGTGTTCATTTTAGACCCTGCCTACAGCACTGCCAGCATTTAACATCCTTTAGATTATTTCTATCTCATCTTTATTTCTTATCCTAGCGTTCTATCTGACCTAACCCAGCCCATATGGTTTACATCAATCAGACACACAACTCATGATTCCAAAACTTTTCCCACAGCCCACATCTCTCAAACGAAAACATACCCACACAGTTTGCCAAATCGCAGACTTCCAGGTTGAAACAAATCAGTATAAGAACATGTCAAATGCTTCGCTTCCACACGGAAAGCTGCCGCGCGAGGCAGTCGGATCCGAATTTATTTACAAACCACACAAAACCAAAATTACTTGAGGAATAAAACCAAGATGAATGGAAAAATAGAACCACTGGAGTGTGTAGATTGTCGAGTTGTTAGTGAAAGAGTAAAAGTATCAGTATACAGCCGGCTTAAGGCGGGCGTACAAAATCGCAGATAATCGAAGATGCTTGCATGGTCGCGGCTCGTACCGTGTGAGAAGAATTACGGGCCGATCCGAGACGTTACGAGCACCCCCCCGTCCTCCCATAATTTTCAAACATGTCAAAAAAAATCGGACGCTGTCGGTTTAAATTCGTGGCGTATGTGCAGTTCAACGAGACGATTTGGCGATCCATCTGAAGTTGACCAATCAGAAGATGACAAAAACCATATAGTCTATAATAATTTTAGTTTAATTATACAGTTCTATTTTTTATTTGTTATTCCGAATGTGCCAAATTTGCCGTTCAGCTTTATGAATGAATATGCCTGTTGTATTTCCGGCAAAACGAGCAGAAATTCAGAAATGGCCTACTCCCTCAAGTTCTTTATGAAGAACAGAAAGTCCATGCTTTTCAGCCATTCTCTTTGCCATGTCCTATGTCTTCGTTTTTTGTTTTTTTTTTGGATGTCACAAGCCATAGCTGCCACAAAGAAAACTATTTCGTCCTCAGAATCCATATTTTTATGAATGGCGCGAAACGTAATGCTTACGTCAGAGTTTGTAAAATCGTAGTAAATTCGTGTCGTGTGTGACTGCCTCCGTACGATTTTCGGATAAACTCAATCGTGACATGTGCCAGAGCTCACGACGTTCCGACCTTCAGAATCGCACCGTGTACGCCCGCCTTAAGTAGTGATAGCTTAAGAAAGAGGTAAAGACACTACATAAACATGTACATGTAGAAAACATGATATTAGCGGAATAATTTACTTTTTTACACTTTAGACTGTTGCGTTATTGTTGCGCATGCTTGTGTCATGACCGCTTTGCCACCTAAGGTGTATGGTAATTCAATGGCCCGTTGTCAATTATTCCTTACATACTATTTTCAAAAAAATTACATTTGGAAAAATTTGATTAGTCAAAGTTCAAATAGTCTACATTTAGTTTAGTGATAATGATATCTTAAATACAACATTAATAAAAGTCCTCCAGTGTTGTTGGCTTAATGCAGTTACATCTGTCACCTTTCCAGAAGCTGTCAATGACACCCATTGTCCTATCCGAATACATTAGCGTTGTGCTAGGCCGACATTATGCAGGTGATTTAGTTACTGTGCTTAAGTGATTAAGAAATGTGATACTTTCAATAGCTGCTCAATTGTTTTGACATGTCTTTGTACAAGAAACTGAGCAGCTTGTTTAACGCTGGCTAACTGCTCAATAGCGGCGGCTTTAAATCAGTGGTGGCCAATCACATACACAAACACATTGATCTGGAGTCTTTTGTAGTACTTACTCACTTCAGACCGCCACTCTTCATGAGAACTACTGAGTGTTCATCAAGCACCAAC